TCAAGTGTGAAGGAATCGATTATATTTATTCATACCTATTTTCAGTCCTTCCTTTGTAGCCTCTTTCTGATGAAAACACTGATCTTGACTGATTTTTGGAAACTCGCGAAGGGAGGGAAGGGACAATACCATCAGGCTTTCAAGATTCTGTTACTCTAGCCTTGGTCTGTCTTTCTACCTCGCCTTCAAGTTAGGTTTTTTTCTTTCTTTCTTAGCAACTACCTAAACAAGTCCCTTAGCAACCATCTAAATTTCTTGACAAGGTTTCTCAGAAGTGGGTTGCCCTTGGTTCCTTCCAAGAGCTGAGCAAAGAGACTAGCTCAAGAACACCCAGCTGGCTTTGTGCCCAGGTCAAAACTAAAACCCACAGTCCCCCAGTTTGTAACCTGTTGCCTTCACCACTAACCAAACTAGCTTGCTTATAAATTCTGTAGAGTTCCAGTATTTCTTGTCGGGTTTTTTTCTTGACTTGGCCTACCTCAAAGGGTGGACATCAAGCCTTCCTTCTGTCTCTTATCTCAGCTATTTTCCTTTGCTCAAATTTGAACATTTTGATTCTTCATTTCTAGATATGTTCTTAGTCTAAGCTAGGGGTTCTTAACTTGGGGTCCATGGATCCCTCGGGGGCCCGCAGATAAATTTCAGGGAGTCTGTAAATTTGGATGCAGAAAAAAAATACAGTTTTATTTTCAGAACCTCTGAAAGCTAGCCTGCCTTGTTAATGAATTAATGGGCTAATAGGGAAATGCATACATTTCTAAGTTATATTGTTGTCTTTTAATATTTTGATATTTGTGTCTGAGTATAATTGATGCCTTTCCAATGCAATCTATATCTATCTATTTTATTTTACCCATTTAAATACATTTTGGATGAGAAGTTTTCACCAGATACTCAAAGGGGTCCATAGCCCCAAGAGGTTAATAATTCCTAATGTTGCTGCAATGGCTAAACCAACAGATATCAGAGCAACGTGTAGAGCTCTACTCTCCATATAGTCAGTGGAGGACTAATGAAAAAGCCTAACAAGGCATTAACAAACAGTACTCTAACCATGCATTTTTTATTATTATTCGTTCACACAAGTACATTCAGAATTCAGGAAACAAATGACAGACTGGAATCAATGCACCTTTCTCTCTCACACATATTTTTTACTCATTGAAATTTATTGCTAGAGTTGATAAAAAAAAAGAAAAAGAAAAACAGAGAGTGTAATCTAGGCTAATAATAGGCTATATACCATCTGTCAATAATCAGCAGGATAAATTACACTAGAAATAAATGGCATGTTTGCTATTTTGGGGGTTTGATTACTGCTGTAGAACAAATATTTGTGTAAAAAAATAAGAGAGCAATTTTTATTTATCTAAAAAATACCCTCTACCTCCTTGTTTTTTACTAGGCAAATCTGCATAATGGAATTTTTATTTATTTATATCCCACCTTTATTATTTTTGCAAATAACTCAAGGCATATCCAACACTCCTTCCTCCTCCTGTTTTCCTCACAACAGCCTTGTTAGGTGGGGTGGGTTGAGAGCATATGTGAGTGGCCCAAAGTCACCCAGCTGGCTTTCATGGCTAAGGTGGGACTAGAACTCACAGTGTCCCATTTTCTATCCTAGTGCTTTAACCACTACATCAAACTGGCTTTAAGTTTGGGGAAGGACATTGTCCTTAAAGTTGTGGTGAATTCCTTTGAAGTGAGTATTTTTGTAACTTCAGTGTAAATAGGAAGAAGACAATTGATTACATAAAGTGAATCTTAGGAAGCAGGGAATATCTATAAAATAGATTAAAAAAATTATATAGTACATTTTAAATTTCTTCACAACAATGGAAACTTCGTGTTCTCATTTGGAGTGAGTCTGGTTTTTAAGAGAAACAGTCTGTGATGAAATGTGTCTATGAAGGGAGAAGTGATGTGATGGACTACAGTAACTAGCAGGCTCCCAGGAAAGAGGGAACAGGTGGGTGTGTGGGAGAGACAAGAGATAGTACAGTTCAGACTTGAATCATGGAAAGAGGAAGAGAATTAGATTAGCCATTTCCTAGAATCTCCCATTTACTTATATCCTGCTTTTATTATTGGTTCAAATAACCCTATGGCTATCATTAAATGTTGTATCTTATGATTCGATGAATATATTTTTTTCTTATGTACACTGAGAGCATATGTACCAAAGACAAATTCCTTATCTATCCAATCACACTTGGCCAATAAAGAATTCTATTCTATTCTATTCTATTCTATTCTATTCTATTCTATTCTATTCTATTCTATTC